ATGGTCTGGGCGATATCGAATCGCCCATCATCGCGCTATGGCGCGATCCTCGGGTGGCTCGGGTTTACCTATTATTTCCTGCTCGATGCCGCCTTCTACGGGCACATGAACTATGCGCTGATCTGGTTCGGGCTGGCGTTGATCGTGGCGCCGTCGGTGATGCGCGATGGGGATCGTGTGCCCGCGTGGTTGATCCTCGCGCCGCGCGTGCTGTTCGCCGTGATCTATTTCTTCGCGGGCGTGGTGAAGCTCTACCCGGAGTGGCTCGATGGCACGGTGTTGCTGATTTTTATGCAGGACGCCGGGATGTCGCCGGGGCTTTACGAGACGCTCTCACAAGAACCTCTCCCGTCTATCCTGGCGATCGCCGGGGCGCTCTTCGATCTGACGATCGGGCCGCTGCTCCTGATCCCCAGGACGCGCCGCTATGCGGTGGTCGTGGCGCTCATGTTTCATACGGGGAACACGATTCTCGTGGGGTTGGGGTTCTTGCCGCTCGTGTTCAGCGTGTTGACGCTGGCCGTGTTTCTCGATCCGGGCTGGGGCCGAAAGCTTCTTGGCTGGAAAGAAGATCCTCCAGAACCGATCGAGGCAGAGCCGCCTCCAATACCGGTGAGAGTAGCGCTCGGCGCGCTGTTGCTCTTTCATCTGGTGATGCCGCTCAGGCCATACATCATCTATCCGGGGGACTCGCGTTGGACGCACGACGCACAGCACTTCTCGTGGTGGCTGCGCTCGACCGCGACAAAGGCCAAGCTGAAGGTCTACGTGGTCAGCCTCGAGACGCCCCGGCAAGAGGTCGAGATGCTCGATTACATCACGATGTCACAGGGATCGATGGCGCAAACGCCGAGGATGCTCGTGCACTTCGCTCGGTTCCTCGCCGAGGAGCGGCGCGCTCGCGGCGAGACGGGGGTTCGTGTGTATGTGGATGTGGAGGTCAGCTTGAACGGCAGGGAGTATCGGCGCTTTATCCCTGATGTTGTCGATCTGGCGACTGTCGAGGATACCTATTCGATGGAGCACCTGGTCGAGCACGAGTATCGATAGGTCCGCTCTATGCGCCGTCGGGCTGATTTTTGTAGCGCGTCGCCTGCGCTCTTAGCCACGCAGAGAGCTCCTCGCAGCGCAGGTCAAAGATCTCGGAGAGCAGCGTCGCGCGCGTCATCTCGGAGAGCCTGAGCGGATACTCCAGAAAGGAGACCTCGGCGCTGTAAGCCATGACGCCAGCGTTGGGATCGGCGTCGAGGAGGAACTCGATCTTTGCCAGATCCTTGACCGCCTGGACGACGTGATAGCCGCTCGGGTCGAGGTCTGGTTGCAGTCGAAAACGCCACCCTGGCGCGCGCTTCTCCTGCCTCGCGAGCACGTGTTGGATCGATTCCTTCGGGTCGAGCGCGATATCGGGCCGGATATGTTCCATGATCTCGGAGACGTTCAGGCTGCGAACCTTCGTGCCGAGGTCATTGTTGTTGGAGTTCGACATCACTTCTCCGAATCGATGCTCGTGGGTAGAGAGCAAAGTCTACTCCATGACCTCGAGAAACACGAGAATCCTCCATCGTACCCTTTCCGGGTGCTTCGCCAGCGTTTCGCCCACGAACCCCGGAGGCGCGCTATTTTCCAGTCTGTGTGGAGATTTTGATGGCCTGGAAAATAGCGCGCCTCGGGGGTTCGTGGCCACCGTTGGTGGAGCGCGTGAGGACAACCTCACAGAAAACACTGCCCTTGCCCTCGATAGGTCAACGCCTCCTCGACGACCTCCTCGTCGCGGCACAAATACAACCTCTCGAATCGCTCGCACAGCTCGCCAGCTTTTGCATGGCGCATGAAGATCGGGTCGCCCAACGAGAGCCTCTCCTCGCCGCGATACTTGACGGGGGTTTGCACCTCGCCAGCGCCCTCGAACGGCGTGAGCTTCGCGCCTTCGGGGAGGTGTGGTCTGGGGAGCGTCTCCGGTCCTCCGGCGCCTGAAGATGTGTAACCTCCGCCGAGGCAGGTGAAGATGTCTGGCGTAGGTTGCCTGACGATGGGGATGGCAAAGCCTGCCGCCGGGTAATACGTGTAGTCAGCGTGGTGCCCGAAGAGGATCGGTCCATAAAAGGCAGAACCTGCGGTGACTTCGGTTACGACCTCCTCGCCAGCGTTGAGTTTGAGGCTCCCCGAACCCCCTGCGTTGATAAATCGGAGCGGGCGATCGAGCGCTTCGATGGCCTGAACCAACATCGCGCGTCGATCGACCACCTCGGCGCTCGACATGCGCTTTAGCGCGCGTTTGACAAGATTCATCGCGCGTTGTCCAGGGACGGCGTCTGCGGTGCCCGCGATCTGTCCTTCGTAGCCCATCAGGCCATCGAGCTCGAGGTGTGGCGATTCGAGGATTCGTCTGGCGAGGTCGAGGACTTTGTTCGGATCACGCAGCGTGGTGCGCAACGCGCCAAAGTGCAGGCCGAGGTGGTTCGTCCCCATATCCAGATCGAGGCAGACGCGGATGATGTGGCCTGCTTGGCTGGCGGCGAGCTCGTACCGCGCGAGGTGCTCCTCGCAATCGGCCATCAGTGTGATTTCGGGGGTTTCCGTGGTGTGTCTGGCGACCGCCTCGAGCTGCGCCATATCCCAGGTGGGGTAGGCGACGAGCAGATCATTGAAGCCCTGCTCGAAGAGCCAGAGCGCCTCGGCGGCGGTGAAGCAGAGGACGCCGCGAAACCTCGGGTCCGCGGCCAAGATTTTTCGCATGATCGGGGCGCATCGGATCGATTTGCTCCCCAGGCGAACTGGCTTATCACCGCTGTAGGAGAGCACCTGCGCGATGTTCGCGTCGAGCAGATCGAGGTCCACGAACGCGAACGGCGCCGCGATCTTCGCGAAGGTTTTTCGGTAGTTTTGGTAGGTGCGTGTGTGCGGCGTCTTCATCCTGACCTCTTCGTGGCGTGGCGTTTGTGATAGCGCCGCGCAGTGAAAGAGGGAAGAGGTCAGGACGGAAGGCGTCCTCGTTTTAGCTCGCGAGCTGGAGGTCGGTGTCCTCGTTGGCGGCGTGCTTGCAGTTCGCCGCGAGCGCTGCTTTGACGCGCTGCTTCTCGTCGAGCAGCTTCGCGCGGTAGGTCACCAGGCGCGTGTACTCGGCGCGCTCCTCATCGGTCAGGTAGCCCTTCATTTGTTGGAGCGCGGGCTCGGTCATCTCCAACTGGAGCGCGATGTGTCCGAGGTAGGGGCGCAGCCAGGTGGCGAGCTCGCCGGGCTCTCGCGACCAGATCCTCTCCTTGCGCTCGAGGACCTCCATCTGCTGCGCGCGGCGTGCTTCCCAGGTCTGCTCGTCGAGGGTGCGACGGAGCAAGAATTCTGTGAGCAGCGCCAGGTAGTCTTGGTGTTGGTGGTGGATCGTCTTCTTCATGGCATCTCTCCTCACACTGAGGTTCCTGTTTCTATCAAGAACATCAACAAGTTGAGCGAAAAGAAAATGCCTCGGTCGTGTTTTGTTTTATCGATATGCGATCTTTTTGTTTTGGGGCCAACTCCAGGGCTACCTGAAGGCCGCGATCGCCTGGAGATAAGCCCATGTGACGGCCACCTGATCCGAGCTCGTGGGGAACAAATGTGAGAAGCCAGTTTGGAGCGTGAGCCCATCCTTGAACTTGTAGCGCGCGGTCACGTCGACCTCGAGACCTCGTGGGTCGAGCGCGGCATCCCAGAAGTGATGCGCCATCAGGTCGAGCATCACGCGCTTGTTGTCGAAGGTGAGACCTGTGCGCGCCTGGAAGATGTCGGTGCGCCTGAAGATATCCGCCAGTCCGAGGTGCCTGTGCGCAGCGGCGTAGAGCGGGTCGTAGGCTTCGATGACATCCTCGGTGGTTTCATCATCGCCGCTGGCGTAGATCCCGCCAAGCTCCAGACGAAGTGTGTCGATCAGCGCGACGCCGACCTCGGCCTCGCCCATGAACCCGCGACGTTGGCGCACATCCTCGTAGTCGACGCATTCGGCTGATTGATTGTCCGCGAGCGCGAGCGTGCAGTTGTCGCCCACCTGACCCACGACCTCCAACCTGGCATCCACCAGGCTCCACTTGCCCTTCAGCCTCGTGCCGAAGGCGGTGATGCGGTCGCGGTTTGGCCCATCGTAGTTGGTCGGTGTGGAGCGATGATCGCGCAAGGCGTAGACGTCGATCTCTTGCATTGCTGGCGCGAGCAGGCTCGGCTCGAGCTGCACGACGAGCGCGCCCATGTAGCTGTCGAACGTGTAGGCTGGCGCGGTGACGCCGTTGATGTCGGGGAAGTTCGCGTACTTCACGCCGAAGGCATCGATGGCGAGCCCTTCGAGGGGGACTCCATGAATGCGGACGCCATCAGACGCGCGCCCGATCTGGTTCCACTCGGCGCGCGACCAGACGAGCTCTTCGCCATAGGTGATCTGGAACCTGCCCGCCTGGACGTTGAGGCGCTCTTCACCATAGCGCAGGTAGGCCTGGAAGATGCCGATCCCGGGTGTGTTCAGGTTTCGCGTGCCGGTCAGGCCGTAAACGCCCGAAGCCTGTGGCTGGATAAAGCCCTCGAGCCTCCCGACGCGACCGCTCACGTCGAGGCGAACGCGATAGGACATCACCTCGCTCCAGGTGTCATCCGTGCGCCTTGTCTCGACCCTGGGGCGGACCTCGGCGCCAAGACTTGGCGGAGAGGAACCTCTGGGGCCTTTTTTCTCAGGTTCTGCGAAGGCGGGATCTGGCTTTACAGACCACGCCTTCGACCACCCTTCCTCGGTGGCCGGTTGTTCTGCTTGTTTTGGCGTTTGCGCCTGCAGGGAGGGGGTGAGGAAGGTCAGGGATGCGAGCGAAAGAAGTGATGGATAAACAACGCGGGAGATCATACCAGGCAAGCGAGCGCTCCTTATTTTTGCGGCGGGGCGAAGTTGCGCGTGAGCTTCTCCTGCCAACTGCCGAACATCGATTGCACTGGACGCAACGGCGAACAGAGTCCCTGAACCCGCTCTCCCTGTCAGACTTCAATATTTCCATTCCAAACTCCACATCTCTTCGCCGCAGAAACCAGCCGCGTCTGTGGTGTCGAGTGTTTCTGCCCCGGAGCCTTGGCCAAGGTCGAGCGTTCCTTCCCAGTCGAGCTCGATCCCTTCCTGGTCCGAGGTGTCGCGCTTGACGCGCACCGTGATCACGCCTTCCTCCACCTCGGGGATCTGGATCCCGTAGTCGAAGACGCACATGCATCCACAGCGCGCCTCGGAGCCATCTTCGAGGATGGCAGGGTCATCCGTCTCGCGCAGCTCGTAGGTGGCCTCGGCGACCTTGTACGCCTTGATCTCGCGCTCGCCACAGCAGTTCATGTAAGCGCGCGAGTCCTCGAGCCGAAGGGTCTGGCTGCTCGCGTCATAGCTCCACTCGAGCACCTCCGCGGCGCAGTATTCAGGGGTTTGCTCCTGATCGCCACACTCGACAAAGGTCGCCATCTCGCCGACCTCGACCTCGCCCGGCGTGGTGTTGTTCTCGCCGATGGTGCTGTTGTTTGGCGAGGTGTTGTTCACCGTCTGGTTGTTGCTCGGCTCGAGATCCCACTCGATGACCGCCTCCTCTTCGATCTGCTCGAGGGTGCTCTCTGGGACCATCTCCTGCCCGGCACACACCGAGACGTTCTCGAGGTCATGGCGGTGCGGCAGCGAGGTCGGGCAGGCAAAGCCCGTCTCTGTGATCGCCTGGCTGCGGTAGACGCAGTAGTCCGCGCCATCCTGTGAGACCTCCAGGCCATTCGCGCCGCACAGGCTCGAGGAGGTGTTGTTGTCCGCGCTCTCTCCGTTGCCGCAGGCCGCGAGCGAGAAAAGGAGCGTGAGGGCGAGCGCGGATTTTGCGAGCAGCGTGATACGTGAGTTCATTTCGGGCTCCATCGTGTTCGAATTCGAATAAGGGGAAATCAAAGGTCGTGCATTGGTATCAGGGTTCATTCTTCATCCTCATCATAGGTGTATGTTCGCTGGATAAACTCGTAAGGAGCCCAGACCAGCGAGAGGTCGATCTCCTGGGCGTCTTCGTCCTCTTTCGCGAGCGCATCGAGCTCGCGCAAGGTCTCCCAGATGACGTCGTTGTAGAGCGCATGCAGCCTGGGCATGTCCTCTTCGCGAACGCGCAGACTCAAGGTGCGCGCGAAGGCGTGCGGGTCGTCGTGAAAGAAGCGCGCGTCGACGGCGTTGGCGACCGTGGAGAGCAGGTTGTTCAAGCCGTCGATTCTTGCCAGCCAGTCCTGACTCACGAGCCGAAACTCGGAGCGAACCACTTCGTAAACCCAGCTATCCTCGTCATCACCCTCGCGCTTGACGCGCTTTTGCTCGACGAGTTGTTCGAGCGCCTCCTCGACGTCCTCGGTCGGGGAGTGCTTGAGGAGCTGGAGGATGCGCGCGTGGCTCAATGATTCGGCCCACAGCATGAACTCGATGCGGCGAGGAAGCTCCTGCTCGACCTCTTCCTCGGCGAAGTTGCGCCGAAGGCGTGTGGCGAGCTGGGAGACCTTGCGCATGCTGATATCGAGCAGCGCGCTGATCTGCCTCATCTTGAGTCCGCGACGACGCGTCTCGTGGTAGAGCGACATCTGGAGCAGATCCACGAGCTCCTTCATCGACATTTCGAAGGGGAGCGAGAGTCTGGCTGCCAGCCCGAGGCAAGCGTAGATCACGCGAGCTCGGTGGATGTTTGGATCGTTTGACATGATTCCATTCCTGCCCGGCGCGTTGTCCGGGCGTCTTGAGATACGCAGAAATTTGCATAAAAATATCCCGATGTCAAATTTTTACGCAAAAAAATGCATAAAATATGTCAAGCGCAAAAAGTCGAGGTGGTTGTCAATCGAGCGATCGCGCGCTATTGGACTGCTCGTGAGGCACAATATGGCGCGACGACAGCGGGAGCATCGAGCATGACTGGCATGGGTCTGAATGATGAGCTGTGGGTGGTTTTCGAGCGGTTGCTCGAGGACGCGCGCAGGCAAACGTCGGCGCTGGCCGCGCTGGTGTGGTTGACGCAAGCGTGGCCAAACGTGGCCGAGCGTGATGTGTTGGTGGACGAGGCTTGGCGCGCGCTGCCCGATGATATCGCGGCGGGCGCGCTCGGGTGGGTGGAGATGGTGGAACCTGCCTGGCGCTCCCGCCGCAACTCCACGGCTTGCGTACAGCAGGCTTACTCCAGAACTTGCCTGTTGGCGATGCTCGTCTGGTTGTGGCGTGTGGGCGGTGAGCGCACCGAGCGTTGCACGCTCGAGTTCGTCGATGGGGTCATCTGGCCCGAGCGCTTTGTCCCGATGCATCCGCGCCGAAAGAGCGCCAATGATATCCCATCGGTTCGGCTGGAGTTGTTGGCTGGCGAGTTTACGATGACACCGCTGACATCACACGAGCCAGGGTACTGGATCGCGCGCGCGTCGGTCGCACCAGCGCGACCTGGCGCGCTGTTTCGCACGTACTCGGGGGAGCAGACCTTGCTGCTGTTGCAAAAGCTCGGGTGGCCGCTGGATGGATCGCGAGGGGTCGAGCGCCCCGTGTCGTGAGCAGGGGTCAAAGAGCCAAAGAAAAAGCCACCTCGCGAAACACGTCGTGAGGTGGCTTTTTCTTTGGCATGGCGTGAATGCGAAGCTTCGAGATGATAAAGCGCTTTGATTGTAGCGCTTTATCATCTCGTCGCGTTCATCACATCGCGCGCCTTCTCCTGATGAAGAATGCGCCCAGGGCGAGGGTCAACAGGGCGAGGTGCCATGGCCCGCGAGGTGCGGGAGCTGCGACCGAGTCACAGCCGCAGCCGCCTCCCTGGTAGTTTCCTGTGGAGTCGACGTCCACGTCGTCATCGCAGGCATCGCCGATGCCGTCCTCGTCTACATCGAGCTGGTCGGCGTTCTCGACGACGCGGCAGTTGTCATCGGCATCGGTGACCTCATCGCCATCGCTGTCGAGGTCGATGAAGTCGGGCGTGCCGTCTCCATCGGTGTCGACAGGATCGGTTTCGAGGTCATCGTCACCGGCCTCGTCGATGTCTGCCACGCCGTCTTCGTCCGAGTCTGTGTCGAGCGCATCGATGACTCCATCCTCGTCGGTGTCCAGCGGGTTTTCGACATCTTCACCGACTTCGAACGCGTCGCCGATGGTGTCGTTGTCGCTGTCCGCGTTGTTCGGGTCGGTACCGAGGACGTCTTCTTGTGCATCGGTCAGGCCATCTCCATCCGTGTCCGTGTCGTTGACTGTGACGCGAATGACGAAGCCTCGCGAATCGCTCTCGGTGCCATCGCTAACCTCGGCAGCGACCGTGACATCACCCGCATCCTGCGCGGTGGTTTGCCACGAGATGTCGCCGGTTGCCTCGTCCAGAGTCGCGCCTTCGGGGAGGCCCGTCGCGCCAAACGTGAGGGTGTCGCCATCGACGTCTTCAGCAGCGAGCGTGATGCTCACCAGATCGCCAGCGACGACCTCGATCACGTCATCGGTTGCAGGGGTCGGGTCGACGAAGAAAGGCGCGTCGTTGACCGGGGTCACGGTCACGGTCACGGTCGCCTCGTTGGAGTTCTCGCTTCCATCGTTGGCCACCACGGTGAAGGAATCGCTGCCGTTGTAGTCTGCGTCAGGCGTGTAGGTCACCTCTCCCGTCGCGTCGACGGAAGCGGTGCCGTTGGTCGGCTCGCTCGAGATGGTGAAGGTGAGGGTGTCGCCGTCTGCGTCCGTGGCGTCGAGTAGAGCCGAGCCCGCGACATCTTCATCCGTGGTGAGCTCGAGGTCAGCGAGCACAGGGGCGTCGTTGACGTTGCCCACATCGATGGTCACGGTCGCCTCGTTCGAGTCGACCGTGCCATCATTGGCGGTGAACGTGAAGGAGTCCATCCCCACGTAGCCCATGTCCGGTTCGTAGGTGAACGCGCCGGTAGCGGCGTCGGTCAAGACCAGCGTGCCGTTGGCGGGCATGGTCGCGATGGCAAAGGTCAACGCATCGCCATCCACATCGGTCGCGGCGAGTGTCTCCATCACGAGCGTGTCCTGGGCGGTGTTCACGGTCCCGTCCATGGCGACAGGCGCGTCGTTGATCGGAGCGACGGTGATGTTCACGGTCGCTTCGTTCGAGTCGAGCGTGCCATCGTTGGCGATAAACACGAATGAATCGCTGCCGTTGAAGTCGGCATCGGGCGAGTAGGTGTAGGCGCCGGTCGCGGCGTCCGTGATCATCACCGTGCCGTTGGTCGGTTGTGTGACGATGCTGTAGGTGAGCGCGTCGCCGTCGCTGTCTGCGGCGGAGAGCGTCGACGAGAGGTCGGTGTCCTCGTCGATGGTTTCGTCGGCATCGCTCGCCACAGGCGCGTCATTCACGGCGCCCACGTCGACGTTCACGGTCGCCGTGTTCGAGTCGACGGTGCCATCATTGACACGGAACGTGAACGAGTCGAGCCCGACGTAGTTCAGGTTCGGAGTGTAGGTGTAGGCGCCGGTCGAGGCATCCGTGAGCACCACCGTGCCATTGGTCGGCTGCGACACGATCGAATACACCAGGGTGTCGCCATCGATATCGGTTGCTGTGAGCGAACCCATGGCCACCGTGTCCTCGGGCGTGTTCAAGTTCCCATCGGTAGCGACAGGTGCATCGTTTGCTGGCGTGACCGTGATATCGACTGTCGCGGTGTTGGAGTCGTCGTCGCCATCGTTTGCCTTGAAGGTGAATGAATCACTTCCGTTGAAGTCGGCATCGGGCGTGTAGGTGTAGGCGCCAGTCGCGGCGTCTGTGAGCATCACCGTGCCGTTGGTCGGTTGTGTGACGATGCTGTAAGTCCATGCGTTGTCGTCGATGTCCGTGGCGGTCAGCGTGCCCGAGCCATCGGTGTCTTCTGCTGTGGTGAGCGTTCCATCGTTGGCCACGGGCGCGTCGTTTACGGGCGTGACCGTGATGTTGACCACCGCGATGTTGGAGTCGTTGGTGCCGTCGTTGACGCGAAACCTGAAAGAGTCACCGCCGCTGAAGTTCGCGTCGGGCTGATAGGTGTAGGTTCCCGCGCTCGTGTCAAAGGATGTGAGCGTCCCGTTGGCTGGCCCCGAGACGAGGATGTAGGTCAGCGCGTCGTTGTCGAAATCGAACGCATCCATACTCGTCGAGAGTGTGACATCTTCGGCGATCGTTTCGGTCGAGGCGATCGCTTCGGGGGTGTGGTCAGAGTCACAGACATCTCCCGCACCATCGCTGTCGTAATCGGCCTGGTTCGCGTTCGAGATCGTGGGGCAGTTGTCATTGCAAAGCGTGACACCGTCGCCATCGACGTCCGAGTCCGCGGGCGCCTCGATCGCGCCCATATCTGCGACCGCAGAGCCCTGGCCATCGCCGTCGAGGGGGCGCGAGGTGCCGTAGACATCCACTGCGATGGCCGAGTTTGCCGTATCGATGACCGGCGAGCCACAGCCCGGCGTGAAGTCGCGGTTGCTCGGATCGATAAAGAGAGGGTCGGCGTTGATGTTTCCGGTCCCTCCCGTCACTGGCGCGTTGGAGTAATTGGCGGTGACGGGGCCTTGCACGATATCGTTGGCAGACGAGCCGTTGTCGAAGTTGCCCTTGACGATCGAGTTGGTCATCGTGAGCGTGCCGTTCGCCACGAAGATGCCGGGGCGGTACGTCGGATTGAGGCCACCACCAAAATCCTTTGCCTTGTTGTTCGTGATCGTGACGTGATCGAGCGTCGAGTTGCCAGAGGTCTGGTAAATGCCGGTGTAGTACGAGACGCCGGAGTTTCCACCAGCGTCGTTCCGGTTGTTGTGGATCAGGACGTTTTCGAGGTGCGGAGAGCCTCCATTGATCCGAACGCCTGTTTGGAGGACTGTCCCGGACGCGCCGCCGACATCTGCGAGGTTATCGCGGATGATGACGCGCTCGAGCCGTGGCGAGCCGCCCTGGATGTAGACCCCCACGCTGATATCATCCCCGATGTTTCCACCGAGCTCGGCGGAGTTGTTGGAGATGATACAGTCCCGCACGATCGCGTCGCTGTTCAGGCGCAGCCCCACACCGCCCGACGAGCCGAACCCGGCGTAACCTCCTCTCAGGGTGAAGCCTTCGAGGATCGCGGAGGAGCTCTCGTTGTTGGCGAGCGTGGCAGGGAATCGCCCACTCTGCGTCGCATGAATCGTGGTGGAGTCTCGGCCTGCGACGCCGATGACGTGGATGTTTTTCCCGTTGAAGTTGATGCGTTCGTTATAGGTACCGGCGGCGACCTCGACACGATCGCCATCGGTCGCAGCGTTGATCGCTGCCTGGATCGTCGCGTGGTCGCCAGGGACAGTGATCGTGGCTGCCGTCGCCACGCCCTGCATGCCGAGCAGGACGAGCGCGAACGCCGTGATATTCGCGGCCGTCCGCGTCAACAGCGTCGAGCTGGGTGTTTGGATTGAACTCATATTCATTTCCACTCCTCAGGTGATTGAAAACCATGGACATCATCATGGTATTGGGAGGTCGTCGTGGGTGATTTCTATAAGGAAAGGCCCCTGCTGTCGACGAACACTTAGGGTATATCTTGCATATCTTGCATTGTGTGCGCAGCAGTTGCTCGTATGAACTACCAATGGCACGTTGTTTTCGGCATGTGCTGAAAGGTTCGAGAGATCCTTGTGA